GCTCGGCAACACTTGAATTACAGGAAAGGAGGACAGAAGCGAGCAGGCTTATGAAAGTATCCAGAAATTTTGAATCTGGATATATGACTTGTTACAACCTTGTCAACAAAGAGATACTGCCTGCACATTCAAGCACTTCAGACCCGACAAAACACTCACAACAATTATCACACGACAGGCTAACCTCAACAAGACCGGAACAAAAGTACACGGATAGCTTGGTTTGAACAGAAAAAAGTTCGGTAAACACCAAGCATTATGGCATTGGTTGAATTTCAACGAAAGTGTTTTGCACTGAAGTCACATCCAGGTCACATCTGAAGTCTCTGCACTCATAGCCTTGGACAGGAGCTCGCCTGGCCTCAGACGTGCACGGAGCTGAAGAGCTGTGGAAAGAAAGTTTTTCGCCTCCTTCGATTTGAAAGAAGCTGCGCAAAAGGAAGAAAGGTTCTTGATCCGAATTCTCCAACCTAATAGCAATGGCCTCCAACCTAATAGCAATGGCCTCCAACCTACGAGTAATATGGAAAAACATTACAGTATTGATCCTGAAAACCCTAGGTCCAACCCGTTAAGATCCTTTCAGAAGTCCTGACAGAGTGCTCTTCAGCTCCCAACCGATAGGGCGCAGCCGACATGTCTTTGGCAGAGGTGACCTCTGCAAGAAACTTTAAGAAAATGTCGACCCATTACACCTGAATACTGATGTTTCTGCAGACGTAAAAAGCCACAAATGCCAACCTCAACATACGTTTCCAAACGATGCCGCGATGCCGCGATGCCTGGTGGTTTTGAATCGACCGCAGTAGTTGTGCGGCAACAGCACCCGGGTCGGAGCCTTCACAAAGACAACCAAGCTGCCGACCAAGTTCGAAGAGAGAATGTGAAGAAACTTTGAGTGTCTAAGACTTCTATCCGCTCTACTTGATGTCGAGGCGTCAATCCATCTTGCACCAAGACTTATCATTCGCAACACGCACGTCACTTTTTCGCACGTTTGCACATCACAAGCGTCTCAGAACTCCTGCAGGCGCATTGCGCTCAAACAACAACACATCACAGGAACAGGACAGCAAATGAGGAAAAAGTTGTCGCAGGCCCTGCCTTTGTACTTGTAAACCAGTGATGGCCTCTCCAGATTCAAAACTTCTGGATTGTTTCCATCATAGCGAGCGAAGATCTCCTCACCGTGGACAAAGTCTCTCCAATAAGCTGGAAATGGGCCCAGAACTGCAAAGCTCTGGTTCTGCAACTGGGTGCTGTCACGTTCAAATTTGGCCGTCATCCAAAATGTCTAATTAAAAACAAACAAGAACACGTTGAGCTAGGAATGGGTGAAGAGGCAGCATGAGGAGTGGATACAGTAGATTATTTGCCTGCAGTCTGATGAAGCCTATGGCTATGGAGTTGAACATGAGGATGGGTGCGGATGATGATGGATGAAGAGGAAGCATCGGCCCGCTGCCACGCCCGCGAATCCAGCAGAATCCTTTATCCTAGGTGTTCATACGACCTAGAAGTTTGCAGCACAAGTATCTGGATTCTGCAATGGTTCACGCTTGCAGGCGCCTCTTGATTGCTTAGAAGGGAGTAGAAAGAAATATTCGCAGGTAACGTTTTGGAAGCGAATTACTGTAATTCAATGCAAGCCAATCATCAGCTTTTAATATTCAGGCTAGGCCTTGTTGATTCAGAAGAAACCACAGCTTCTCAGAACAGCAATTTAAAAAATGTTATCCCGGCAAGAGACCCCAAACAGTGTAGAGTGTAACTGAGCATCTGAGAGCACAAAGTGCTGTGCATGCCACGACATCTGCACTTCGAGGTTCACACAGCGCTGTGCCTGCCACGAAATCTGCACTCGAGGGTCAACAAGTGCTGTGCCTGCCACGAAGTCTGCACTTCAAGGTTCACCCAGTGCCGTGCCTGCCACGAAATCTGCACTTCGAGGTTCACCAAGTGCTGCGCCTGCCACGAAGTCTGCACCTCGAGGTTCACAAACTGCTGTGCCTGCCACGAAAGCTGCACGTCGAGGTTCACAAAGTGCTGTGCCTACGAAATCTGCACGTCGTGCTGCTCCTGCCACGAAGTTGCAAGCGAGCCACATGTCCAAAAGTCACGATTCACTGCACCTGTCACGAAGTCAGAGCGCCTCGAAGATCACCACCATGTCCAAAGTGCTGCACCTGCCACGAAATCTGCACTTCGATGCAACACCGCTCCGATCCCTTGCGCCTGTCACGAAAACGAAAAGTTGACTTTGGACCACCAAAACACGAGGTTTCCCTTGCACCTGCCACGACACGCTCCAGCCACCCAGATTCTGCGAGCCTGCGCGGTCGAAATACACGTCGACGATTTCAAGAGACATGAATGTACTATAAATAGCAGCGAATTAGCCGCACACGCCCGATCTAAGCACACCTGCTTTTCTACTACCGTAAGAACCCCTAAGTGTGTCCACACTGTTTGGGGAACATTTAATGTTTATGGATGTTTTAAGTTGCAACGTGAAAAGCTTCCCAAAAGCACCAAAATGGTGAAGAAAGCATGTCAAGGACAAAGCAGTCCAGTCTCTGTAGAACCAGGATCTCTGAATTGTTCCTCTTAAACCTCAGTTCTCACGACACCAAGGACACCAAGTTCCGCAAAAGTTCCACCCAAGTTCACACAGAATGTCGAGTCGACTGCCCAGACTGCCCAGTGGCTTATTCACACACCGAATCGGTGTCACTTTGTCACCGTCCGCTGATCCACTGACTTCCTCGAAGGGAAATGAGCTGCAGGTCTAGAACAAGCTCAAGAGAAGAGCGGTTGCTGGTTGCTGGTAGTGGGGAGAGAAAGAAGGACAGCAAGAAACAAAGAGAAAGGTCTAAACTTCCAAAGTCCAAAGGTCTAAAAAAATGAGAGGAAACATAAAGAAAGCGCAAGCAAAACAATAGGGTGACCTGGCAACGCCCACACTGTGGAGCCATGCTTTTCAGTTTTTGGATCAATTCTTGGTTGTTGAGGAAAGGAAGGGTATGTTGTTTTCGATATCATAATGACGTCGTTTTTGCTGTTGCCCGAAAACAGTGCACCATGTCCATCGAAAATTGGATTCCATAAGGGGTCCTGCAAAAAGACCTCGCTGCTATTGAAGAGATCCGTGCGTCCTAAGAAAACAGCGGAACAGCTTCAGAAATGTCAAAGACTTGGATGTAAAGACTGAAAGTTGCAGCCATCCGTATCCCGTGCCTTCTGGAACTGCAACTGTTCGCTTCTTAACACGCGTCTCAGTCTTAATCGAGAGCCCATCTCGCTTGATTGTGACCTTGACAGCGCTAAAATGCGCTATCTAACTTAGAATACACGATTAGAAAACATGTAGTAAATTAAATAGAACGTGTAATTTGGTTGAAAGAAATGTTTGCAAACATCATTCAGGCCACAAAAGTATGACATCATTCAGGGCACCGAGGAGACATTCGGGCTTCTTGGATCCCACTCCACAGATTCCAAAGCACGGGGGCCACCCCCAGTGCCGCAGATGTAGCTTCGCATATTGTACGCGCGGTCTGCAATGATCTTACCTCATCTGCAAAAATTCTTACAGGGGTGTTGTTCAAACAAACAATCAAACAAATGAAACTGAACAAATGCCAAACTAAAGCAAAAAAAGAGAACAATGACATATTATATAACGAAAGGAAAAGGGCACACAAAGCAGGAGAATGAGACGTTCTTCTCTCTTGAGGCTTCAGGAAGGCCACTGTCAAACTCAATGTATTTCTGTGGATACTGCTCCACTGCCTTCACCCCATGTAGTGCGTGTTATAGCACTGTTTGTGAAAGTCTGCAGTGAACTTCCATAAAACGTGTTTCATCCCAGTGTTCCATAAAGTTCTGCACACGAGTCAACTGAGCCTTCTCAGTTCCCACGATCTGCCGCTGCTTTAAGGCATCCTTGTCAGACTCTCCCTGTGGGAGCTCGACAGCAACCAACTCGGTGGTGGCCTATCACATCTTGTAGGTGAAGTCACAAAACAAACACATCAAGTGGAAGAGACGGTCAATTGTATAAATGATGTGGCGTCCAAGCTTGTACAAAAATGTGTTTCATATAGTATCAGCTAGGGTGCCTCCCATTCACCAAGGAACCACTCTGGATAGTAAATGTCACGATCGCCGCCAAGCATGCCTCTTGACATGTCCTCAGTTCAGTAAACGATGGAGCTCATGATTACTGAAATGTCTGGGATGCCTCTGATAGAAATCATATTTAGCCAAGACAAGGCATCTCAATGGTGGGGACGCTTCCGCAGTCAATGCTTGGCGGGTGAACTTGGCACATCCTGCCAAGCTTCTGCCAAGTCCACCTCTGCAACTGCAGGAGGCCCACATACAAGAGCTGGCCAAATGAATGCCTGAGATGAGACGTCCACATGCAAAGCTTCTCTTGCAGTTCACCCACTTGAACCAAAGTCGCAAATTGGTTCTAGTCGATTGCACTTTGGAATTAGCACAGACCAGAATCTAAATTCATATATACATTGTCAAAGACTGTTGATGCCAAAACCATCCCTGGTAGCAAAATCATTCAGCATAAATCCTAATGCAAACGTTGCCCTGCCTATTGACCCCTCCAGATCTGATGCAGCAAGCCTTGAAACTTTCTATGCCATGATATTTGTGTTCGTCCCCCGCCTTTCTGCGGCGGAAGCACGACCTGCGAGGTTGTGAGACGCTGGGCTCGACCGGCAAAAGTTTGTGGTGTTTCGACACAGCCAACTGCTTTCTGGAGTATCCAACTGCAAAGCTACACCTGACAACAGGCAGCGCTGCCATCGTCATCAAGTCATTTCTCCACCTGCAGCTTCCAAGTAAGGCGAAGTCGATTGAGCTACAAAAGACATTGAAGATGTTAGAAGAAGCAGAAACCAAACAGCTAAGACAGCAGATTTCATTAAACAACAAAAAACATCTACGTGGTGCCGTGCCTTCGCTGCCTTGTCTTTTCAGTGCGCAGAGACACAGGAAGCTCCAGCAGCCAAGGCGGTGAAGGCATTGGGCCCAGGCTCGCTTGCGCGGAGAAGGCTTTTGCCGCCATGGCGGTGAAGGCATCCCAATGGGGCCCTGGTCCACTTTTCTCATCTTTTTTCTTTTTCTCTGCTCTTTGCCTTCCTTTCAATACCTTTCTTTCCCTTCATCCAGAACGAAAAGCTTTTGTGGGTGCCAAGGGCCCTTGTAGACGAGTCCACATGGTGAATGATGATGCAGTCTCTTCCGCTTCCGCAAAGTCTGACATGGAGAAACTCGGAGAAACATGGTGCGTCGCTGCATCTCCCACCATGCGAAACGTGCTGACTTTCCTCTTCGACGTCTTCCTGCGGGGATGTCCCTTGAGTCTCAAGCGCCTAGAAGAAGCAGCTGAAATGAGTCTCAATGTGCGTCGTTCGCTTGAGCGATCTGCAATTCCGTCCCGACATCCCAAAACTGGGCGTTTTCTACGTCCCGACACGCGTGCGTCCAAACAGTTTTCTACAAAAAGGAGCCCCGTGTCGCGATGAAGTGGGGAACCCATTTGCAGAGCCAAAAACACTCTACAAACCTCTCGTCAGAGCTTCGCCTTGTCCTGCGGCCCGGCGGTCTGCACCCACCTCAAGCTGCATCGGATGCGTTGTCTTTCTGAACGATTTGGAAGGCGTCGGGCGAAATGATTTGAAGCTCAATGATTCTCAATGCAACGAGCTGGCACTTGAAAGCAGGCCGA